GTCTAAAATAATAACACAACATTTATTGATCTTTCATGTCTTTATTGAGAACATCCAAAAAAAACTCATAGTGCTTGTGGAAAAAGTATGTGAACCCTTGAGTTAATGACCTCAAAAAAGCTAAATGGAGTCAGGTATTAGCACACCTGGAGTCTCGTTAAGATAATAAGTTTGGAGGTGTGGACTACAGCTACTTTGACTGATAAAAACCCCTCAAACTTTTGGAGTTTGCTCTGCACAACACGCTTATGTGAGCCATGCCTCGCCAAAAAGAGCTTTCAGAGGATCTACGATCAAGAATTGTTGATTTACATAAAGCTGGCAAGGGTTACAAAGTTATTTCAAAGACTTTCACCAGTCTACAGTAAGGCAAACAATCTACAAATGGAAACACTTTGGGACTGTTGCTACTCTACTAAGAAGTGGGCGCCCAGTCAAAATGACACCAAGAGCACAACAAAGACCCATCAATGAGGTAAAGAAACAACCGGCAGGACACCACGAAAGGAAGCCACTGCTTACTAAAAAGAACATTGCGCACGCCGAAGTTTGCAAAAGAGCACATTGACACTCCACAGCGGTATTGGCAAAATGTTTTGTGGACTGATGAAACTAAGATTGAACTATTTGGAAAAAACACACAGCACTACTGGCGTAGAAAGGGCACGGCATATCATCATGAAAACATCATCCCAACCGTAAAGTATGGTGGAGGAAACATCATGATTTGGGCCTGCTTTGCTGCATCAGGGCCTGGCCAGCTTGGAATCATTGAGGGGAAGATGAATTCGACAGTTCTTCAGGTTATGTGAGAATGTCTGTACCTCAGCTGAAACTGTGTAGAAAGTGGGTGATGCAACAGGACAACGACCCAAAACACCGGAGCAAGTCCACAACAGAATGGCTTCAGAAAAACAAAATCTGCCTTTTGGAGTGGCCAAGTCAGAGCCCAGACCTCAACCCAATAGAGATGCTATGGATTGACTTGAAGAGGGCCATACACATGAGACGTCCAAAGAATATGACAGAGCTAAAGCAGTTCTGCCAGGAAAAATTGGTAAAATTCCTCCTTAACAATGTGCAGGTCTGATCCACAGCTACAGGAAGCGCCTGTTTGAGGTTTTTGCTGCCAAGGGGGGGGCCAATGTTGAATGAGTGTGTTCAATAAAGACATGAAAGATCAGAATGTGTTATTATTTTTAGACACATTATGT